AGAATGTCAGTGCTCTCTGTCCCAGGTGTGTAGGACAGTCCCAGGTGTGTAAGAGAGTGTCAGTGCTCTCTGTCCCAAGTATGTACTGTAGGAGAGTGTCAGTGCTCTGCGTCCCAGGTGTGTAGCAGAGTCAGTGCTCTCTGTCCCACGTGTGTCAGTGAGTGTCAGTGCCCTGTGTGCTGTATACTGCAGCGGGTGGGAGGCACAGTGTCCCCGGACTCACAGACTGCGCTGTGATGAGATCTCTGCATGCAGCGTTGTCATTCAGCAGGTGTGCCCAACACCGCCTGCTGCTTCCCTTTCAAGCACTAATCCCCTCTCTGCTCCAGCCGGTTACTCCACTGCACCGACTACCCTCCTGCCGAGCCCAAGAGCAGGAGGCAGGGAAGGGGTTCTGAGTGAACACAGAGAGGTGGGGGAGGGTTGTGAGCGTCAGTCCACTCACTCAGCCTCTGCTACAGCTTGCAGCTGCCGGGGTGAAGTGGGGGATACGAGGTTGCCTAATCTTATCTCCGATGCTTCTGCTTGAACCTGTGAAACGAGGAGCACTTTGAGCAGGGCAGACACATGCCGCGGCTGATCAGAAGCAAGCAGAATAACACAGTCCCGGGTTTGCACTCCGCAGACAGACAGATTCATCTGATGATGAAACAGCGTGTGAGAGACAGAGAGCACCCACACAGACTGAAGATGCACGGATCTGTAGGAAGAGGGATGCCGAGCCCAGGCAGATCGCAGTGGTAGGATGAGTGCGACTGTAACTGGTTCGTGTCCTGGTGTGTGCGCCTCCCCTGGGCTCCCAGCAGCAGAGATATGCTGAGATGCTTTTATAGTACAGAGCTCTGTCTTCCTCTGGCTTCTCTGTATACCAGCAAGGTATTTATAGTTGCACAGCAGGGTCTCTGGAGACTGAACAAAAGGCTGTGTGTGTGTCCCCTATCAAGGTTTAAAGTGGAATTTCATGGTGAGAATGTAGTACACAGCACAGAGCAGGTAGTAACACAGCACCAGAAAGCGCAGAGCAGGAATCACACAGAACAGAGCACAGAGCAGAAAATGTACACCACAGAGCGCAGAGCAGGCAGCACAGAATTCATCCTGAAGGTCCACCCTCAGTAACCATCTTACCTCTCGTCTACACACCCCGAGTATGACACACTGTGAGGAGCATCATTGCCTTCTCACACTTCCTGCTATCTGGAACCAGCCGCTGCTCGTGGCTACAGCCCCTGTACACCTTCCACCCTCCACAGCTGGGGGAG